AGCTTGGAACGATTGGACACTATCCTGGGACGAAAAGGTACCAGCCCACGTGATCTTTCTCGACTTTGCGAAAGCATTCGACACAGTTCACCATGGTCTGCTCCTTCACAAAATAAGCAAGGCAGGTGTGTCTGGAGCACTTCTCGCATGGCTGAAGATTACTTAGGCGAGAGAGAATTCTGCACCAAAGTCAACCGCATCCGATCATCCTGGCACACCTCGGCATCAGGGGTTCCTCAGGGTTCTATCCTAGGGCCGTTGATGTTTTTGATTTTTATCAACGACCTGCCCTCTCAAATGAACTGCTCTGCGCTTCTTTACGCTGACGACGTAAAGATTTGGAGAGCAATAAACTCATCGGAAGACTCAGATAGATTGCAGGCTGACCTGCAAACTCTGGGAGACTGGGCTCTGGCTAACGGAATGCCTTTCAACCTAAAGAAGTGCAAAGTAGTGCAACTTCATTCCGGCAGGTCACAGAGTGTAAATTACACCCTTGGTGGCCAGAACTTGAGTTGTGTTCCATCAGAGCGCGATCTAGGTCTTTTTCTAACAGAAAAGCTAGACACCAGTGGAAATTATGCGAAAGACGTCGCCAAAGCCTACGCAACCTTACACTTTATGCATAGGCAGCTAGGAGCTCTCACTCCCGAACTGTTCTTAAGGTTATATGAGACATATGTGAGGCCACACCTTGAGGTGCATAATATCACTGCACTTCCGCTACTCAAAAGGGATGCTAACATTCTAGAAAGTGTCCAGAGACGAGCGACTAAATGGGTGATCGGCCTCCGCAACAAATCATACGAGGAAAGACTAAAGAAATTAGGTCTTTTCACACTTAGTTACCGTAGGCACAGGGGAGGCCTCATCACCGTCTACCAGATATTAAATGATCAGGCCTACCCAAATAAAAGCATCCTGCCATTAAGTGATTATAGGCTTCCACGAGGTAACCCGCTAAGGATAGCACACCAGAGACCAAAGACTCGAGTCCGCTCACATTTCTTTTCGCTTCGAGTTTGCTGTCTCTAGAACGCTTTACCAGCGTCCGTGACTACAGCGCCATCTGTGGAGATTTTTAGGCGGAAGCTAGACAATCATGCAGAAATGTAAGGTTTGTCTCAATGGCTTGTCCTCATAAAAATTAAAACCACACTGTCAATGGATGGGCATACAAACTAAATCTCCACGACCTGTTCTGCCTTCTCTCACTGTACCGACCACTCTATTTTTCCTTAGGTCACCTTTATTAGTTCACTTATCTCAACCCATATTATCTACACTACAACCCATTATTATTACTATTCTGCTTTTATGACTACACCGAATGACTAACGGGAGTTAGGTTAAACTCCATTAACGGAAGCAATACAGTGCTAACATACTGCATACTACAAAGCACATGTCAATGTAGTTGAAGATTGAACGATCAATTCATGGTTGTTTGCTCAAAACCAACTTCCCCAATTTTCGCGGAGGCATCAATAAACCAGTCATCGTCTCATCGGTCGCTGTTCAGAAAGAAGTCAGCAGAAAACCGTCAGAAGTAATACTGTGATTTATTATTGCAATATTTGTTCATATACCTTAGTCAAAACTTAATTTTGAAGCTGCCTATATGTTGGTGTTACAATAAAGAATTCTCGAGTATCCGATCGGTGTTTTGGTTTTGCGTCCGTTATTACTAAGAGTTTCTGAGAAACTTCAATGAACAGCGTGAGTCCCAGTGTAGCAAGAGCTGGGCATTGACGCTTTACGAGACGTGGCTGACACCACATCTTGACCAATCCCCGCACCACTCCTCTTGGAGTCTACCAGGGCTAAAGCAGTCGAGTGGCGGGACTTACTACGCAGAAGCTCACTGAAGATCTGGAACCTCTATCTCACAATCAAGAAGCGAGCTCAAAGAAATCACTGGTTTATACTACCTCGTAATCAGGATATTGGGTATTGGAACTCAACATGTGAAGAGTGAATTACCTAGACGAATTCATTCTACCTGTTGTGAACAGCTTCATAGCCACTGGTATGTTATGACGATCAATCGCATTCTAATTGCACTGTTTGAAGAACTGAGAGCTCATTAAATTATTGAACTGAAAATAAATTTATCGCTTGCAAAGTGGCTATATAGCCCCATGGACTTACGTCTTGACTATAAAGACACCCGATTTATAGGGCTGATCAGTACGAACCTTGATGTCCGCGTATCTCCGAATACATCCGCATCTCATGGAGGAAACATTAAAAAAATTTTTGATGACAGCTTCATCTCACACTGTATTTTTGGTATAACTATGAAATTTTCAGCATTTTATATTGGTAGCCCAAAGTTTGCAGGCCGACCAATTCGCGTGGTTGGCGTGAATCCTAACTACTGTACCACCGGCTGTTTATGGGTGCAATTAGGTCGATAAGATAATGAAAAACTATAGTGGTGTGCAGCCAACATAACACACAAATGCTGTTCCATTTTTCCTTGAAAAACCATCTATCCATGATATGCACTCACATGGAAAGGATAAAAACGGTGAAACATTTCGCATGCGTTATCGCCTCCAAACAGATACGCTTCCTCTCGGAAAATGCTGACGACTGAATCTTCCCGTTAGTCAAAAGTTGCAATCAAAGGGACTCGAAATTCTATCCCAATACATGTGAGGCACTGAATCCGCCGGAATGCATATGATGCCTGAATTAAGTGGTTACTACCACGGCCTACAATTTCTCTGAACTCATACAGAGGGGTAATTTCAATTTTATTTCAGTATTGCGATATCAGCCACACCTAGAACTATTGATACTTCTCCTGTCAGCCGTAAGAATATGATTATTTTTCCCAAATCAGATTGGGTCTGAAATCTTCTGTCTTTTGAATGCTGTTTAGCAAAGTTACGGAAATCTGTGATGCGGTTTTTACGACATTTATAAACTCTTCAGTGGCTTAATTTTTGACGCTAATATTAGTAAACAATAATTCCATTTTTCTGAATATTGAACCACTGGTGGGACAACGTATTTCAGAAAAGTGCGCGTAAAGCAAGTTTGTACCGTACGCTCTGCCGTACAGGGTGTGTTATTCCTCTTTTGAATTGTTGGGTTGTAATATTTCTAAGTTAAATGTCTCATTAAACCACATAGTGTGTTTTATATGTGTTGTCCATGATAACTACGGAAGCATGTCTTCGAATTTATGTTTAAACTGAAATAAAAATTTCGACGGTTTTTAAGGGAACTTTTGGAAGTGTTATTTTGGAGTTTTTGGGGGAAAATTCCCCAAAAATTTGACATGATGCCGACCCTTAAAATTTGTTACATGGGATAAATAGAGTTTAACCCACGTGCGAGCATTGGATATTGGAGTGATGTATTAAAACATGTCAATTAACATGCTAGCTTGCTGGTAATGCCTACTGAATTTTCTGTGAGGCTATGTTATCTGATGATTACTTTTTTATTTTGGAATACCCCTCGTTTGCAATAATGCTGAAGTAATGTTCGCAAATTCTGAATTAAGTGTTTGTATACCAAGAGTAGATTATGAAGTGATTTGACATTCAGGAAAAAGAAGCAGTTTATGCTTTTTTCCATTACCCGGATTAGTTCAGAACCTACTAGCATACCTTCACTCACCAGTATGCAAATAAGGATGCATATTTTGTTGCCACTGCACTACCTACCTGTCACTAATATATGACTTCGAAATGTGATCTAATTTTCCTCTGTCAATTCTCTCTCCAACAGTTACCGAAGAATCAGTGAGGGTGTTAATACATAAGTTGTCATGCTCTAAAAGACAACACGTACATGGTGGTACTACAATGATTAAACATGGATGCGAGAGGCTATAAATAAATGGTTAGGGAAGATTTTATAGGTTTTAGAAGATTATCAGGGGAGATAAAGTCTGCATCACCATGGGCGACTTATCCAACCAAAAGTCTGCAGCTACGAGACACCTTTGACAGCCCTGTTATAAACTAAAATAACTGAAAAATAGAAATATATTTTATGGATGCAGATGTTCAGTCCTAAAGGAATCATATATATATATATATATATATATATATATATATATATATATATATATATATATATATATATATATATTTTCACCATGGGAATTAGTAGTTGTCATGTTTCCTCAGATACGATTGTTGTATATCTGCCCCTAGGGTTTTGTGGTACTCTTGAAGTGTAACAAGGTAAATTAATTCATCAGTGCAAAGCTTTACATTAATGTAGTCACATCTGTCTGCTGTAAAAGTATCTTTCAACAAAGCATACTCTTAGCTAGTTTTTTTTTAGCAGATGAACATAACAGTAATTTCTTCAAATTTAGTTTTAGCACGAATAGTGTACAAAAAATTTTCTGTTGATAAATTCACTGAAATATTCCCCCGTTCTTTACCGATCATTGAAAGGAGAAAAGTTCAAGTATATTTCGGAATAGAAATGCTAGTTCGATATGTGAGAAACCGTCTGACCGAATGTGCTTTCCGTTGTATGGTACTTTAAATAAAATGCTTATATCAACTACTACATCAAAACAGTTTGAAAGAGCATGGAGATGGGAAAACAGTTTAAGTATGAAAAATGAGAAACAGAAACAACACTCTGTATAAGTCTTTGATCAAACATTTTAGGTTTAACTATTTTGGCAATCTTTACCGTAGATACTTGACCTTAATTTACAATTAATAGCTTTATGTAAACAATGAAGTATGACTAAGATTTTAAACTATAAGATCTGAGCATGTTTAGTAGCGTATATACGTCACACTACAATATTATGTTGAGTATAATTATATATGGTCTGATTATTCAATCAATCAAATTACTTCCAAACCTTAGGAGTATCAAAATTATTTTCAATGTATCATTTTTATGAACTTTTCCGTTCACTAACCTGTGGGGTCTTTCTATTTCACACAATATTTTCATTTTTATTACCTTCGTAGGAGTCGAGAGCTGCTAACTGAGTTCTTATTACCAAAATGTCGAAACGCTCTGGCTTGGGTGTGGTAGGTTAGATCTCCATAGTTTCTCACTGAGAATTAGGTCACAAGTGAAGAGTTATCCAAACCTGAAAAACTGTCGAAACCATCTTTGGATAGTGATGAAGAAGATTATGATGATAAAGACTGTTTCCGACTGCGTGAAACAGACATAGATGGTACCTGGTTATTTCATGTGTCATATTTATAAAAGGTCAGGAGGCTTCAACATTAGAATATGATGATGAAGTCAAGATAACTCCGTTCAATATGAAGGAGGAACTTGAAGAAGATGGACATTTTGATTCTGCTGGAACTTTCATATTCAAAAAGGTTAGTTAGGAACTTTTGTGTGGATAATTTTCTCTAATTCACCAATAGGAAGTTGATGCTCGTGATAACTGGTTGGAAGATATTAACTGGTTAGAAGTGAAAAAAAATCAAGAGAAAAATGTACTAAAAGACACGGCGATAAGTGATGAGCCGGATGAGAAAGTGTTAAGTAAAGAGGAGAAACTTTCTATGTATGAAGAACTTCTGTCTTATTTACAACCTTCGGAGACAGTTTTGCGAAGTATCAAACGTATGGGTGTATGCTCAGATGTTAAAAAGTCTGCTTCAGCTAGTGAACGCTGGTTACAGAAAAAGAAACCTAAAACAGACAATCGTAAGTAAGTACCAGTGTTTTGATTTATTTTGTGATATATACACGCAGTTGTAAGGGAAAGGAGATAACATTGAGCATGGAGTTATTGTGTATCAACCCAAGTCTATAAACTGTATCAGACTGCAAACAATCAACAAAGCAATAAAAGTAATTATGCCTGTAATGTTACGAAAACTAGAAGTAGAAGGATAGGGAAGAACATCTAACACAAAAGTGAAAGCTATGAAATGTTAAAAGATGGATTCACTCTGTTTTAACGTGTACCACTGTGTAGTACACAATTCCTTATGCAATCCTGACTGGTGTCTCTTAAATATCTCTTATTTCCCGTATAACAAGTCATGTTGAGTAGTTGTTCAATAAACATATTTAGAACATTTCAGTCATCTGTCTGTCTGGATTCAACATAGAACTTGACACCGAAGTGCAGCAGTTCGAGTTGCTACGTTCCAAATAGCACATAAAGGTAGACAAGAAGATGAGTGGAGAGAATTAATAGTTTCACAAGTATAGGAGTGAAACAATGGGTAATGGTAGAAAGGAATATCAAAGATTACAGAGACTGGATACATCTGCGCCATCAAAATGAACTAAACTAAAATATCTGTTTTATTTGTCGCTCTTCACTTTAGACAGACATTACTTAATTCTCATCATCAGCATTGGTAATCATAGTACCCCTAGTTAATAACACCTTTATGTTATCTAATATGTCTAAAGTACTGAAATTATTATATTATTGTTATTTCCTCAAGTTCTGAATGGAATATACGGCTTCAACAGCACATCTCCATTTCATCCTGTTCCCTACGGTTGTCTTCAGCTAGCTCCACGACAGCCCATAAGCTTTTCTCTCCTCCTTTTCAGACAATCTCTTCCAACACCCAACTTGTCATTTTCCATCCGGGTTCCACTCGAGCGATGACCTGGTGTGCAATGCCATCCGACTGTCTCCTCAACGTGTGTGCTATCCATCTCCATTTTTTTCGAAATATTTGTTAAGTAGTAGGTTTCTGATTGGTCCACTGCCTACCAGAGTTCCTTTCTGATCAGTTGACCTTGAGTATGGAGCTAAAGAAGGAGGGTGTTGATAAAATTCTTCAGCTGGCTGTTGGAGACGCTTTCTCTGACGTGCTGGCCAAGTTTCTGGCTCATATAGAAGAAGTGACTGACTAACTTAACATTGGTGTTGAAAATCGAAATTTTGTTGTCTATGCTTTGGTGGAGTGCAAAAGATTTCCAAAGTAACTTCAGGACGATGGAGGTCTGTCTTGACTTTCCGATTCTGACTTTTACATCCTCATCTGTGTTGTTGGCTGTAGTTGAAACGATATCGCCTATATTATGGAAACATCGGAATGTGTTTTCGTTTTCCATTCACCATACATGGTATTGATGGGATTATCTCTTGCTCTCAACTGTTATCTGGCACTTAAGTCAATCTAGTCAGTAACTAATTATTAGTAACACTCTCAAGTATCTTCTGGGCTGACTGACTGGCTTCATCATCAAACTTTGCAGAAACGTGCACCATTTCGAGTTACCATACTCCATGTAGCACATAAAGGAGGACAGCAGAGAGAAAAAAGGTATTCAAAAGAACAATAATAAGTAGAAATGTGAGGGCTAAAAGATAGTATTATGAAAAAACATGAAGGTTTAAGGGATATGGGATATCACATAGAGGGAATACATCTTCGCCATTGAGAACGAATTTGAGCCATATCACCAATTCTCTCCAGCCTTCATTGGTTATTGGCATCGTGAGAAATCCAGCCAAGGAGTCTACATCTCTCTATGTGACTCAAACTAACTGTGGAAGATTTCATGAACTGATTACACCACCACTAGCTCTTTTCCAACCTTATCCATCCTATTTCAGCTAACATTGCCCATTGTCTAGGAAGACAATGGCTCGATACGCGCAACACATGTCCTACCCATTTCGATCGATGTAACCCGACAACCTGATCTATTGACCTACCCTTTTTACCGAAAATTCTCCATCTAAATTCAATACACAGACAGACAGACAATATTGCTCACCGTATTATACCGCTTAACACGGGAGACAGAACATAGTCATACGTGGATCAGATCTTCCACTTTCAGTGGTCATGTCTTACAGCCATAAAGGAAGACAAGACGATTTGCTGCGTAGTACTTATATCCTTTAATCTATGATTAGACATCACATGTACGCCAGAGATGACGTGAGTTGGTAAAGGTACTAACTGCATCGTTCATTTAGCATCTTGGAGAGTTGTTCATCATAGGTAGATTCATTTCTTTCTGTTGAAATGTATCCGTAAATATTTTATTATGAGATGTACAACTATCTCTGTGTGAGTACATAAGTGTCTGAATATATATATATATATCTTTTTGTATGTTTTGTAGTGGCAATCCAGAAGGATTGATTCGTGTCACTGAATTAGCTGATCAACTTGTTCAAGCTGGTGATTTTGATGTCTATCAAAAGACTTATGAAGATATTCATAAGCTTATAGAATGTACAAAACAGTTTGAAGCAGATGATGAATTGGATGTTCTTGGTCAAGAGCTGGATGAGAAACAAAGTAATAATAATAACGACAACGAAGGTTTGTTGCATTTCAAAAGAAATTTTCATAACATTTATGTTCATAACATACTAATAATTAAGAGACTAGGGATTAGAGTCTTTGTTAAGTGGCTGAAGGCAATCGGTATGGTAGCCTTAATTGACCTAGCATTCACTAGTCAGCAAGGCGTATCTGCAACCTTCAGGGAACTCATGTCCTCTACGAGATTGGAAACCGTGCCATGAGTTCCCTGAATGTTGCAGATACTCCTTGATAATGAGTACTAAGAAGCATAAGATCTAGATCCAAGGCTTCCTGTCGATTACCTCCAGGGTGCACCTTGATGGTGAGCCATCTAGCATGATGTGGCCACACTTCAGACTTGACTGATAGAATTCAGTCTGCACCAAACAGCAAGCGTTAGACGTGTGACACTAGTTAATTACTACACCTAGTCTTCAACCGAAGTATTAACGTCTTTTTTGTGCATCTGAATAACTCAGTTATCAGTTCCTGAAGGTTATGTAAAATTCGGATTTTTTGTGATGCTAACAAGCAATTATGCTTGCCTAATTGGTTCACATTTATGATATCCAACAGATCACATAATGTGATCTTAATATTTAAGGTTTCCAAAGGAAATTGTAGTGAGTTTCCACCTGGAGTTGTGTATTTTGCAAGTATAACCAGTTCTCCCAAGTAAACCAGCTAGATTCTAGATGGTTTGAACTGAGTCAGACTGCGTACCCCACTGATGAGCTAAGCACCGAAGCAACCATCCGCTGTTTAGATCACTTCAATCTGACTAGTGAGCACTACTGCTTGATTTGAGTGGTGCTCATATACTCCATGATGAAATCACAGAACCGCCTTATATTTGAGCAGATGCCTACATCTCTGCATGGTAGGTTCTAGAGGGAATCATCAAAATGTATGAGTATAAGTGTTTAGTGTACCAATTTCAAAAGCTGCGTTCTCTTTAGGAGTAAATGTAAAGCAGGCTCAAGTGTGATGTATAGACTTTTATATCCTTGCTGAGAGTTGTTCAACAACTAGTGTAATACATCCGACCATTTCACTACCTAACGGATACACAACTACCCTATCCACCGGAACAAGCTGAATTTGGGAAAGGCGAATCATCTGCGGATCAAATTGCAACGTGAGGCATTATTGAACAGGGCATAGAATGTTAGTCAAATCTCTATCTTATCTTCATCGACTTTGTAAAGGTCTTCGACAGCCGTGATCACGAAGTAGTTTGGAAACTACTTCAATACTATGGTGGTGTGCAGTACCCGAAATCTTCACCAACCTCATTCAATAGCTACATGGCCTCCAAAGCCTCAGGATGGTCGGGGGTGGGTGCCTTGCGCTGCGGGTTGGCCACCCCTCCATATACCTCTTGAAATGCTCCCATATGACCGGGCGTCTTACATAGCCTCTCCTGAGGAAGTCCTACTCACCGCCTTCACGTGGCGGAGGTGTTTTTCACCGAAGTGAGAGGGCAAAAGCGGATGCCCGGCGCTCTCCACCGGGTTGATTGTTCATTGGATGACAGTCTAGGGGAGATGGCTAAACCCTGATTCCAAACCCCCAACGACTGGCGTATGAAGCTCACCGGAGCTCACCGGCAGACGTACGGACAAAGGGCTTATTGGATGCCCTGGATGTCTGGCCCCATTCAAAAAGGTGTATGAACCGGACTCCGGTCACCGGCTTCCAATGGATAGTGGACTCCTTACTCCACTCCTACTGCCTTGTAGGTCACACTTGGTTGTGTAAAGGCTAGAGATGCACTCTCAAACAAAAGGCCGAGCGATGCTGGGGACATCACTCGCACCTAGTTCCCATGAAACTTCATGAACTCTGAACTCTCTACAACATCAACCAAATTCCAGTACTGGTCCAACAACGTCGCCTTCGGTGGTTTGGCCGTGTTGTGCGCCGACCAGATGACGATCTGGTCCAATCAGTTCTAAATCCTTCGCCATTTCCATCTTAGCGATGTCGCAGGGGTGGACAGCTGAAAACATGGCTTGGGACAGTCAAGGCTGATATGGAGTGCCTGGGGCTACAAACCGTCTACAGACTCTGTCTGTGGAACAAGAATTGGATAACCCTGTCTCAAAACCTTGCATCAGATCGCCGCGCCTGGGCAGCGATGATTCGAGATGTTCATGAAGCCGGCTCATCCTCCCGTAGGAGATAGCCGAAGTAAAGTAAAAAGTAAGTAATAGCTACATGACATTGCCATATGCGCAACCGGAATTGATAATAGCAGCTTTTTGGTTTTAACGGTGACGATTAAGTCAAAATTTTACACAAAGGGTAAAATAATGATAATAATTTTTGATTGGACACTAGTCAGTAACTAATGTAATGTGTGTGTGGTGCAGACTGAATTCTATCAGTCAAGCTTGAAATGTGGCGACCATGCTAGGTAACTCGCCATCACGGCGTACTGTGAATTGTGGGTATTAGATGGTTGGGGGCAATCGACAGGGAGCCTCGCTCGACCTAGGTAGGTTTCGTGGTAGTTGGCAGTCTTCAGCAAGGCGTAGCTGCAACCTACTTTTTAAGATTCGAACCCACGTCATCAGCCAGTGTTACAGTCAGAGATGTTACCACTAAGTTATTTGGGCTCGCGGTTGACCTCCTGTAGGACTGTATTGAATATTTTTATTGGGCATTGGTCAGTAACTAGAGGAATCTGTCTAGTCCTTTTGTTTTGGTGCAGACTGAATTCTATCAGTCAAGCCTGCAACAGATCACCATAGATTACAAACGGGAAAGGATAAAAGAGCTCTTTAATTTTTTGCTTACAGCATAGTAAGTCATAAGTTTCACGCTTAACACCATCTTTAACACATAAGACAAGGAAGGTTCAAATAGAGAGTGTCGTTGACTTTTTGTACTTAGTTGTGCAAGCGAGCATACAATCTTTTGTAATGACTTCTTCTAGTCTTACGTGATAAGACGCAAGGGCAAAGAAAGAGTTGTGAATAGAGAGAGAGTGAGGTGTTAAGAGCCAGATAGTATGCAGCTAGACCATTTATCACATGAGTTCAGGTGTCTGTCGTCTGTAATAGTAACGGGTTGACTTAGTGGCACATCAGTTGCCCTATAGACAACCTTTAATAATACCCTTCACTATATCACATAGTCCTTTTTGAATAATAGCCCAGAAAAGACTAAGTTGGGGGTGGTGTGGGGAGCAACAAGGAACAGTAGGTAAGATGCAATAGTTAACAAATTGTGAATGCATATTAACAACCAGTCATGTCAGTAATTGTCAGGGGACAAAATTATGACATTATTCATGAACAGTTCAAATAAGTTTACACTTCATATTGAAGTTGGTACTGAAGAGACGACGTTGTCTAGGAAGACAACTATAAACCATTCAACTCAGAGAATGCAATCACATCAAAATCATCCATCTGAGCTACAACTCTTCTCTGTTATCACAAGAGGTAGTGTTTAGCGATTTGAATCCTTCTTCAAGTTTGACCACAGGTTGATATTAGTTTAGAGAACCATTGAAAAAACTAGTGAGAAGTACTGGAAAGCTGTTTCTTCTTAGTTTGAAACTCATCACCAGGATTCGGACCCAGGACTTTCTGGTTACGCAGCAAACTATCTCGTAGAACATTCAGCTACTTGGACCCGACTCAATGTCTATCTGTCTGTTTTCGATATAGAACTTTGCATATATGTGCGGAAGTTCAAGTTGCCACACACCATGTAGCACACAAAGCAACAGAAGAAATTAGAAGAAATGCATATTAGAGACAGTAAACAGAGGTGTGAGACAAAGGAATAGTAATAACGAAGAACAATATAGTTTCATTGGAAATCATAAGTCATAGGGAGTGGAAGCATCTGCGCCATTGGGAATGATTTTGAGCCATGTCACCAATTGTTCCTAGCCATTGGTTTTTACCGTCCCGAGGACCCCAACCAGCCAAAAAGTATACACCTTCCTACGTGGCTTAAACTAACTGTTGTAGATTTCATTGACTGGTGAATCCGTGTTTTGGTTTGACCGCCGCTAGCTCTTTTCCAGCCTGACCCTATATCAGCTAACATTGTCCGTCGAAGAAGGCGACGACTAGGTATCCGTAACACATGTCCTAACCATCTCAGTCGATGTAGCTTCGCAACCTCGTCGATTGATTTCCCCTCCTTACCTAGCTTTGGACCGAAGCGTAACCTCAATATTGCTCACCTTATTATACCACTTCACACGGGAGATAGATCACAGGCACCTATGATTAAAGACAGCTAATCTTTTCATGTCTCCCACTGTCAGTGGCCAGGTCTCACAGCCAGCCATAAAGGAGGACGGAGCGGAATGATGAGCAGTACACCCGCCCTTTGGTCGATACCCAGCCGGATATCACGTCTACTAAGCCAAAGACGGCGTAAACTGGCATATGCGAAACTAGCCTTCTGTATCCGTGCTGAGATTTCGTCAGAGATCAACCCGTTGGCACTGGCTGATGGTACTTCCCAAATAAGTGAAGCGGTCAACGTGCTCTACCACTTTTACCCGACTCAATAGGCCATTACCTATGAATTCTAACTTTTACCGATTGGTGATTTTAACGCGACTAGCATCAGTCAAGGTCATCATCGTTGGCGAGTATTTGTTCTCACTCCCGACCTGTTGGTGTAACGCTCTGGTCACCAGAACTCTCAGCAGCTTCATCCTGTCGCCAGTCACTCACTAGAAAGCATGAGAATAATTTTCAAGAGGTAGTTTGTGGGGGTTTATTTATTTTTCAGGCTTAATCACGGATTCATATAAGTTATGTTATATTGATTTTTATTTGTGTTCAACAAATGTGAATCACCTAAACATATTCATTTAATCTTACATTCTAGATGGAGTAAAGGTGACCGGAGAAAATGGCAACAATAATGATAACAATAATAATAATAATAGTGATAGTAATAACGATAAGCCACCAATTATGTGGCATTTAAAGCGTTCAAACAAACCAAATACAGATATTGAAGGTCCGTATACATCAGAACAATTAAAGACATGGCTTCAAGATGGAACATTCAAGGATGATGATAATATATTAATACGTGAATCAACAAAACCAGAAGGACAATTCTATAGTATTACACGTATTGATTTCGATTTATATGAATAAATCAATGATTGATCAATTAATTGATCGATTGATGGAAGACACACTTTTTCATTTACTTCTGCCTACATTGTCTCGTTCAGTCATTCATTCATTCATGTGCATCTCTCGCTCCCTGTAAATAATAAGATAATAATTATAATAATAACTTTTGTAAGTGGTTTGCTGAGTTGTGTTTTTTTTTAAAATTATTTTTCAGTTCTTGATTTCAACAAGATATTTAAATTGATTTGAGTAAATCCATCTTCACTTTTCGATCGATCATTGTAGCAGTCTCTTGAGTAGGTAGACGTATTTCTATAGAATCTTACTATATTACTATAAACGCATGTAGATCACATGCTTACATGTGTTTATCTTTGAGAAACAAATCGCTCGCCTTAATTTAATAACAATAATAATAATAAGATCTGACTGACTGGTTTCACTATAGAACTCTGCACAGATGTGCACCAGTTCAACGTATCACTTTCTTTGCATATAGCACACAAACCAAGAGAAGACAGATGGTAAACAGAAGCGTGAGTGAAGGAAAAACAGTGGATATGATAAATCACACAGAGAGTGAGAGCATCTCTGTGCCACCACTGAGAACAACATTGTGAGCCATATCACCAGTTATCTCCAGTTATCATTGGTCTTTGATATCCCAAGGACACCATGTATCACAAAGCAGTCTACATACCACCCGACGTGGCTTCACATTACTGTTATGGATTTCATTGACTGATTGCCACGCTTTTCGTTTATGATTACCACTAGCTCTTCTACAACCTGATCCAATGTCAGCTAACATTGCCCATTAAGGAAGACGATCGACGGCTAGGGATGCATGAGTAGTACATGTCCTAACTATCTCTGTCATCGATCGATTTCCCTTCCTTATCACCTAACACTCGACTGAAGCCTAACCATATCAATATTTCTCACCCTATTATATCACTCAACATGGGAGATAGGACGCAGACATCGCTTATGATTAAAGACAACTAGTCAAGCTTTTCATGTCTTCTACTTTCAACGGTCGTGTTTCAATCAGCAATTAATGAGGATGGAGAGAACTGCTGTTGTACAGTACACACGTCGCTTGATCAATGCCCAGTCGGATATCCCGTCTACTCCAGAAATGGTGAGATTTTATCGGGGATCAGCCGGTTGAAGCTATTGTGACTTCCCAAATAAATGAAGCGCTCAACATGCTCTACCGCTTCGTTCCCTATCTTCTAAGCTAGGAGTTGACTTAGTCCATAGATTATAAAAACTATATACTAATGATCGGCTGAGATAAGTATATTGCACACCACATACACACACATTCAAGAGTAGTGCTTGGTCGCTTGCTAGGCAGATCGAAGTGATATAAATACCGAACAGCCGTTTCGCTTATTTGGAACCGAGCTTATCACCGATGTACTCTGGTTTTACTCAGTTCAACCACATAGAGAGAGAGCCAAATCAATTCAAGCCAAGGTAAACTGTACTGAGATTTCACCCTAACACCCCCACCGTCGAGCTGTGTAAATTACGAACTTGATTTTCAGGTGTTATTCCCACCATCACGCTCAAATAGATAGCTAGACAGCCAGAAATAGGGTGGTGTGAATGGATTCGACTGTGTGATTTGAGTGAACCCGGCGTACACCGTTGATGAGTTCGGTGCCGAATGGGCGAAACGGCTTTCCGGCGTTTAATTCATTTAGATTCGGTTGGCTGGCGAGCAAGCACTACCCGTTGGTGTGTGAGTGTGTATGGTATATAACTACTCTTCCCAATCAATCAGTAGTATATAGTTTTGTACAAATATGACTCCTTTCATGATTACCATTCATTATATCAAACAGACCGGATATTTTTATCTGGTTTCCAAAGGAAACGGCGAATTCGATTTATGGCTATACTTCACACTGTGTATATTGATACAATATTAGTAAAAATATGAATATAAACTTATGTATACATCGTCGGGCTCAGCGGTAGGACGCTCGCCGATCATGCATGTGGTCTGGGGTTCGAGTCATGGTCTGTGGACAGCTTCACCTCCCCTAGCCGATTTTAAGCCTGACAAAGATAGGGAAGGTTGAGCATGAGGCTAGTAACCCCTGCTACTGAGATTTCAAAGCTCATGCTTGAATAAACCCCTTGTTCCACATGAGACAATGACAACGATGGAGAGAATACAAAGCGTCTTTTGTGTAGTGTTTCTGAGTAATAAGCTAGCAGTTGCATACATAACACTTTTCTAATCACATAAAATGTATCCCAGTCAAATAAGGTATTGTTGCGTTTTTATACTTAACTGTCCAAGCATTAAGTCTTTTATAATTGCTTCCAGTTCCCCTATGCGATAAGATGCCAAATGAGGGAGTTGTGTGTTGACAGTGTGTTCTGAGTTCGACAAGATGATATTTATCAATTTGCCGCATGAATTCAAGTGTTTATCTACAACAGTATTAACAATTCGTTTTAGCGACACCACAGTCTCTCTAACGACAGCTATTATTGCCCTTCTCAGTTTTACAGAGTCTTTCTGAAGTAGCCCCAGGATAGGTTAACGCATCCGGGGTGCAATAGAAAAAGAATAGGTAGAATACAAGGATTAACAAATTATAAAAGTAGGCATTGATTGAGTGATCCCAGATTGTCTTAACTTCCTTACGTGTAGAACGTTAAACAAAGTAACATGATGTGAGAAGACCAGGAAACATCGCTGGGACGATATCATCTTAGATATTTAATATTCCACTCTGTAGCCCTCCATGATACAAGAATCATGGGAACGAACCTGCTCGAGTAAATCATGTGTGTGTGTGTGTGTGTCTGAAAGTCCAGTCTGGTCTTGAAATTTTAACTTGTGACCGAATGTTTGTTTCTCAATGAATACTTCAATGTTATCGTAACATTCTCCAGGAAGATAACTTCACTGATTCGATAATTCAACGCCACATTTCCGTTGCATGTGGAAGAAGCAGTCTCTTTTTTGCCTGCGCCACACACACACACGCATTGTAAGGCTTGTCACAAAACTAGTGTGGCGTTTGTATAAAGCAAGAACAACGGTGGTTTGTACAGAATAATATGGTATCATCATTGTTTATTTCGTTGGCTTCTCATCTACTGCTGCTTACAGCATAAATAAATTATAAGGTTTATGTACAGAAAAGTTTCAACATACTTGCAAATTTTTCCTGATGTCAGTTGACAGCGGGTTCCGAAATTAGTGAACAGGGCTCGGAAAATTGCGCTTAAATAGTTTTTACACAGACAGTTCAGGTTTAAACAAAGTAAGTTTATGCATACAATGGTAAAGGAGTTACGTAATAAAGACGAAAGATGCGTAAGATGATGAATGACTAATAAATTAGGTAACAATTCACTGAGTCCAACTCAAATCATAGAAACAAGAGGCAAACAGGATTGCACTATATCAAAGGAGGGGGGGGGGTTGAAGTTAAAACCAAAGACTAAGCAATTCATTGAAATTAAGAATAAAGATATCCAGTCACCAGGTGGGCAAGGAAAGTCTGATAACTGCTTCTTTCTGAACATATAAATCAAGTTTCAGTCACTTAATAGAAATTGCTTCGGCAACTTTGAGGAGAATCGAGCTGCTTTGTCTATGGATAATTTTAAAGGAGATGTCTAGTAATAGCGCTATTATAAGACTTTGTTCCCTTGAGACGTAGGCTTTTCAGCACATGTTTGTCATGCATGTGTATGTGTGTATTGTATTTCAGAGATTTGCTTTTATAATTTTCCTGTAATACTGAGAGTAGATTCAATCTGCTTATTTAAAATATGATATTTTTTAAAATGATTTCACCAAGGAAAGTGTACGAGGTTGTGATTTGTAGTTGCTGACACCTAAACTTGAAGTTTATCTACTCAACTGAATGCGTATCAGTGTGAACTGTACTACTGACGAGATTTATCAACGTGTACATTAGACGCAGATTGATAGGAAGCAGCCAAAATTGAAAAAATAACATTTTTTCAAAGTCAGTAGCTATAGAAGTAGAAGTATTTATTCCTCAAATCTGGATTTAACCTACGTTGTGGTCAGGAAATAACCTGGAGCTTAAGCCTTCTGAAAGTCGAGAACCAATCAGGACAGTTTATTTTTATTTTTTTTGTAGTGGACTAAACGGCTAAGTTCGTCTATACGGGAAATAAAAATGACAGAACAAATACAGACATGTATGTATGCTGAAGGGTGTTTAGCCCACATAAAATGCAGTTATTCGAAAAGTTACAATTGTTCCAAAATACTCAAATGTGGACGTACAGAATGGTAGGGATGAAATAGTCCTTTTCTTTGGTATACAGATGCATACTACACGTAAAAGATGCCAATGGCCGGAGAGCACTTGCGGAGAGAAAATTAGATTGGAGCAAGGCATCCTAATGTGGACGTACTGACCAGGTACGAGGCAGAGTTGGTTTGCAGATGTAGAAAGCCCGAAGCCAGAGAGAGGGAAGAAGCGTCGTCCGTATTGCGCGAGGAACCAGGAAGTGTCCTTGTTCAATCTCACGTAACAACCATGATTTTCTGTGAATTCATTACTTTTACTATCTTACGGTGAACGTATAATTTGATATTTTCTGGACACCACACATTAAATGCGGCTAAAACTGAATAAATATGGTGTGTTTTTCCTTTATAAAATGTTCATTACCAAGTGTCTTGTCATCTCCTGTTACACTAGCAGCTTGTGTGTTATATATAATAAAAGTTTCAATGAGGATATATGCACCACTAGGCGAGATCGTAACTTAATATTTATAAGAACTAGTAGAATACGGCAATCAATATATACAGTACCATTGTAACAACAGAAGGCAAGAGTCAGGCAACAGATCCTTTATTGAGGAAGTCAACACGTATTTTTATATTTTCATGTACGTTATTATAGCTTATTCAAGCAAACAAACACCTTTTTGTGATTGGTCGTTTCTCACAGACAGTTAACCTTGCATCTCTTTGTGACTGTTTCTTGAATGTCGTG